TCAAAAAGTATCGCCTGCACAGAACCATTGGAGACACTCCGCAGAGAGACACAGCATGCGTTTAGGCACTGTTGTTGGACTGATTGTATTGGCTGCATCAGGAACAATGACGACTGGCACACGAGAGCCGGAAATAGCACCATCAGTTGGTCTAAATCGTTCCCAGTGCTTAGTCGGAGTTTCAAGCGTACTTCGCTTGTTCTTCCTTTTTCCAAGGTCACTGGGCGACTGGGGCCACGTATGGTCCAGGTGATCCACCGATTCAACACAATGGGGTCCATTGGCAAGAAGGTCCTCAGCTTGTGCACGCGAGACATCAAACCACAGTGCCGTATAATAGCGTTGTGAGGAGGCGTCCTGCACCGTGACTACACGATATCGATGGCCACTTGCGTAATTACTGAGCCACTCAAGTGTAGTACATGTGGTGTATATGATGGAGTGGGTGCTTGGTAAGAGAACTGAAGGGTAGCATCGACAGTGATTCCAGGGTGGTTAAGCTGTACAAAGCTTCCAGCAAAGACTAGGCGATATACCCCGTCCTGGCAGCTGTGGGGAATGCAATTTCCCTTTCATTGGCTAACAGCCTCAAAGACTCAAATGACTCTGGCGAAATTTGTGCAATGAGGTAGCCATAGAGGGAGCAACGGGAAAACCTTGCTCTTGCAGGAACTCATTGACGCTAGGCAATTGATCGTCATGTTTCTGAGCAACAAATACGACTAGTCTGCCGAAGCTCACCGTGATCAGTGCCAATGTATGCTTGATGAAGACTGATAGCCGGCTGTGTTCGATGCTTTTAAAGCATCGACAAGCTGATCAACCCATCCGACAATGTCAATATTGCATGCCAGACTATCATTGCTGAGATAGCTGATTGATTACCTCAGTACTGCGCCTATCTCCTTTCACTTGTAGACTGAAAGGATTGGTAGTGTCGGCTTCAAATCCGTTGCATACCGGCTGGCAAAGGTCAAGCGATGCTGTATTAAATGAGTTAGGTATAGCAGCGATTATATTCCAATCACGAGCAAGGTTACCAACTCGGATGCGCTCATTACCGGGCTGTTGGAGCCCAAAAGCAACGGTATGATGTGTCTTTTGACCGACTTGTACACGGCCCACGTGACAGGCGATTCTGACGTGCTTGGTGAGGTGGGGGTAGTGTTCGCAAATGCCTCTTCCAGGACAGGCACAGCAGCATGGGTACCGAAATGTAAGCACACGGTAGGGATGCGCGCGTTAACCAGCTTGATGAGGGCCCAAAATGTTTACCAAGTACAATAGCCAGACAGCACGGATGCTGTTGTCGGTACTTGATAGCAAAATTTACATCCTGAGCGTGTGTAGTGAGCACCCAGAAGTTATCTGGCAATGTGTCTCTGATGGCACTAGGCGTGGCTGCAAAAACAAAGACCTGGTCAACTCGCAGCACCTTAGCGTGTGAAGAAACTGAAATAAGTGCTTCTCGAAAGGCATCTTCCTTGGTGTCATCAGTCCATTGATTGTATTTGAGTGACAAGGACTGGCCAAGGGCCTGCTCCTCATGGTCCTCGAGGTTTACCTCACTAAGCAACTCTCAGCATGTTTAGGTTCTGGATCGGCAGCCGGGGTCCTTTTTTCCTCCCCCGCACACTTTGAGGCAATTGCCTCAGGTCGCGAAGGATCGGCAGCTGGAGTCCGTGGAATAGGATCAAGTGAGTGAGCCTAGACTGAGGGTCGGATTGTGTCATCGATTGGGCCTTTATAGGACTTGGTTCAATAGGAGCAGTAGGCAGGACCTGTGAGGCTCCATGTGGTGAGACAGTGCCAGAGCAACTCGAAGCAAGGCGGTCTGCAGGCTCTTGGCAGGACGCGACATTACAGTTATTAGCCGTGGCATTCTCATGTCTCTTAAAGGTCTTGAAGGCTTCACCATAGTAGGAAGTCTTATGGTTAAGCCCATCACTCGGGACGGAATCCAACAACTCATCATCACTATCAGGCACAGGAATTGCAACTCCTGAGGAAACAGGTGGAGTGCTGGGAGCACTACCTCCATGCTTCCTGGAGCTATTGCGGAATTTGGAAGGTGAGAAAAACGACTTGATTCTCTCACGAGGTATGTGTGAGCTAGCAGCAGGTCTTCCTGGTAGGCGACTCTTGCCACCTGCAACACATCTTTTCTTATGTCGGTTTGGAGTTTTGGATGTAGTGGACTGTGTCAAGAGCTGAGGCCGCAAGATCCATGCCATCTGCATCAGGCTTGTTTTTCTTTAGGCACGATTTGATCACTGGTATGTCTGGATTGCCCTTGCCGCCTGCAAGGTAATGCAATTGGCGTGCAACAGGATTTGATCGAGGGGAAAGATTGTGCTGAAAATGATGGGTTCCTGGTTGCCACGTCCTTAGGACATGAATGGTCTCCTCGTTCCACGTTCAATTGTGACGCTCGCTGGGGCCGCGGAGGCGAGAGGGGGCTTGTTCCTCCCTCTTGCCAACGCCGCCCTTTGCTTTGGTGGGCAATGTGTGTTCCCGCGGGTTTAATTCGCATTTGTGCATGTGAGAATGCTGACATTGTTTGGCATTTGCCTGCTTTGGAGCTTAGTTTTTACACGTGTAGTGTGGCTTATGTTGGCTTCTGCATTCTTCTTGAGCTTTTTGCACTTTTGTTAATTGGTGCCCATGACCGTGGGGGTAAACTGTGGTCGGGCAGAGTGCCGGTCTGGCACCGTATCTTGGGTGATTGCCCAGATTTTTCCGCTCCTTGCCCCAGATTAAATTGGGCAAGGTTGCGATTTGTTAATGTGCCCGCTGAAACGTCGGGCCATGGTTCTATTGTAGAGGAGCCCTGTCTGATGGCGTTTTGTGGGGTTTTGGGTTTGTTGGTGTTTGGTTTTGTTGTGGAAATCGGGCCACGATGATGTTGTGCAGCTCCCTTGCTGATACTTGCAAGTCCCTGCTGCCTCTGGGCAGTTTCTTTCCTCTCTGACGTAGTTGGATTTGTCGACCGGCGACGTTGCTGTAAGCGCGGGGAAAAAAACAACATTCTTTTTTTCAGAGGGTTGGATCTGTTTATAAGGGTCCAACAAAAACTAGAACTTATAGAATTGATGGTTCCGATACAACTCGTCGAGCTTGGGTCCTGGGAGCTTCTCATCCCTTCGGTGACGTACTCAAGCAAATCATGTCCCTGGTTTTCTGGCAGGTCATGCGTGTGGCCTCGCGGTGCAGGCCTTGTCAACAAGGCCGACTTTCCAGGGGAAACTCCCGGGTTACCCTGTCAGCGAACTTGGCCTTGCGGTCAGCCTGGACACAGGTGATGCTCCCACATTGTGCCTTGTTGAGCGTCCGCGCATTGACATGCTTTGGCTGCACCGTTATGTAGGTGGACACCCAGGGCTGGTTGGGGTTCTGCATGCCTACCTGGGCTAGGCAGCAAAGTCAATTGGGTGCTCCAGACGTATACTGCGCGATCCCCACACGGTTTTCGGTCGGTTGTATGCGGTTGGGCCTTCAACGCAGGGGCTTCTGAGTGCTCTCAGGCTGCTGTTTTTTGGAAGTTGCATGTTAAGCTTGATTTGTGTGGCTGCTTTCACGAGCTTGTTAGCCCTGCAGTGGTTTAATGATGATAGCCTCTTGCGCATTGGAGACCTTAGGCGTGTTGTGGCGCTGCTGTCCGTGGAGTGGGGCACAAAAAACTGTTGTCAATTTGATGCGTCACATCATGTTTGTTCCCGACCTTTGGAAGGAGCAGCTGCGGCAAGTTCAGGCCGTCACTGGGCGTGTTGTTGGTTAGCAACATCATGCCACACACCGAAACCGGAATTTTCACCAGCTTGAAACCATTGAACATGTTTTCATGCAGGCCTTTATGTCGTCTTAGTAGTTCTCCAATGGTCATCCCGTGTATCACGGGCCTTCTGATCAACTCCCACATGAAGAATTCCACATTCGACGCGAATTTGGCTTCCCTACCGCATTCCCATTGGATGAACTTTGCAAGGTCAACAAACAAAGGCGCGTTAAATTCGACTGACCATTTTCCAATTGCTAACATCTCTTCGGTCGCTCAGAACCCACACGCTCCATGTCAGAGCGCAGAACTGTTTACGAGGGCGTGCAACAAAGAATGAGCAAAAGGGCGTGGCCGGCTTGCGGCTTTCGGGTCGGGAATTCAGCGGGCGGCGAGTGATATGCACATTTTTTTGGTGGTTTGAGAAGAAAAAGATGGCTTGACGTAGGGTGATCGGGGCCCCATGATCCTTGGAGATCTAGGAAAATCTGGCTGAATGATTGCACGCGTCCAAGAAGTTTCTTCGTTCATTTGATGGAAGCCCTTGGGTGTGACTAAGCTTCGGCACAGTCCCAGGCAGCGGAAAGCAACAGCTGCACTTGGCCCTGCTCAGGCTGAACCAATTCCATGCTGGTTGTGAGAGGTGCCAGACAACAGGATCTGAGCAAAAAAATCACACTCTGGCCTGATAGAGGCTTCTGCCCCCCAAATCATGAACATTGGCCTGAGCATTGCCGACCAAGTTCGGTTCCCTGGGAGGTTCTGTTGCTCCTCGGCTCGTCCGTTGTGGTCCCCCTTTCCGGGACTAGACATCGTTGTCGGCAACAAGTCTGACTAAACAGACTTTATGGCTATTCGGTAGCGGATCTTTGATTTTCCGAATTGGACCCACAAACAGTTAAACAGTTTTCTTAGCGGGCTCAACAGCAACCAAAGATATGAAACAGTGGAATTCAGCATCATGTTGCAGATGTGTGTTGGTTGAGTATTGAGTTGAATTTAGTTTAGTGGTCCCCTAACTAATACGGCCCGAATACGACTGGAGTTGGGGTCCAAGTGCAACATTGCTCCTGTGGTAGTAGGTTTGGATTTTGTCCTATTCTAAATTCGTGCCTGGGACTTTTGGGTGGATTTGTTGAAGACCTTCAGTGGAAAGGGATCAGTTCTTGGACCAAGCAGCGCCAAAGAAGCCATTCTTTTTTCCAGAACGACGCTGAGCGAGTTCCAAGTTGCCAACTTCGGCTCAGTGAAGTCCTGAAGCTTGGCCTCGGCATGTCTTGGGATGTCGCGCTTCCCGCTCTGGGGTCCGACTCACTGGTCTCCGGAAGCGGAAGTGTGAGCTTGCGTGGCAAAGACTGGGACGTCGCTCGGCTCGGAGCTGTCGGTCAAAGTTTGCCATTTTTTTTTTTCAAAAGTGGAGAGGGGGGATTCTCCCGAAAAGATCAAAGCAAAGTCTTCCAAGAGCCATAGCTTCCAGTGGAGGGTAATTTGCCAACTGGCATGGAACCTGACAAAGAGCGGTGGATCTTCCAAAAGCCTCTCCTTAGGGCGGATGGTGTGACAGGAGTCCTCATAGAAAACTGAGAGGTTGGCTTTTGTTTTGGTTTCCCTTGGACCCCCCAAACAGAATGAAGAACAAAGAAGCAAGACAAAACGCTGGTACCCGCCCCCCAAAAAGGAGCGACCAGATAGTCTGGAATCCGGAACCCGGAGCCCCAAAGCTCTTGAGCCGAAGAGGAAGAATGAGTTTTCACCGGGAAAGCCAAACAATGAAGCAATCTAGTGTGGAAATCCATTTCGCACCACCGTTCAGAATTCCTGGTTTCTGATGATTCTCTGTAGATACCAACAAACAGTGTTTTCCCATGGATTCAACGTGGTGCAGGATTTCGTCCATTCACAGTACTTCTGCATAATTTACGGCGAGCTCACCGATTCGGGGGTAGAATGAGCGAAAGCCATGGTAACTATCTTTTCCTCGACATATGGTAGAATGTGCGGATACTTTAGCATGATACTTTCCAGAATCTAAGCAACGTATGGGATCTTTTCAGAAAACGTCAGCAAATGATGATAGTAATCACGATAACAATAGTATCTAAAATGATGTTTTACCAAACATAAAAACAATACACATGAGAATCATAGATAAAACAAATACTGAGAGTATTCAGTAGGGAAATCAGCGCATTTCCCGCAAGGTCCGAAACGAAGCCTTCGATCGGAAACCATTCCGAACCGAACAATGGGGCCTTGTGTTTTACAGCTGTCACAAGAATTGGAACCCTTTCCCCAACTTTCACGGCCACTTTTAAACTTTTCATACGCATGTCTTTGCGACCTTTTTGAGGGTTCCATAGGGTGGCTGGACTTAAAATCCTTGCACCGGGTTGGCATGAATGATACCCTAGGCCACCAATTCCGACTGCGGGCAGGAGGGGAAAATTATACCACTCCTTCGGTTTGGTGTGTGTGGGGTAATTAATTTTCACGGGGCTTTTTCATTTGGCCTTTATTCCAAAGGCGACACCTTGGTTGGCATCCTAAAAGGAACCGGACTTTGACTCAATATGAAGTGTCCATCCCTGATCATGTTTTCCAGGTAATTGGCTGTGTTTGAATCGTTGAAACCATGTTTTATTTATTTTTGGTATATACATTATATACATAAAAAGTAAATATATACCACATATATATATATATCTACTGTATGTATATTTTCCAGGAAGCCATTGGTTTCCCTCACCAAGATTCATGGGTTTCCCTCAGGCGCGCGGGCCGCTTCGAAGTTCCGCAGCTTCTGGGGACAGCACGGAGGGCCGAGACGAGGGCCGGGCCGGCAGCAACGCCGGAGCCTTGGTACGTCTCTGATTTCAATGCCAGAAAAGGGAGGCATTTTTTGAGCTCGTATCTCTCTCTCTCTCTATGAAAAAAACTCAAGATTGATGTTGGATGTTTTCTTTTTTTTCTCCTTTTTTTTCTCCATCTAGCTTGCTTGGACATTTGTCCCATGAAGGGTGCCCTCGCAAAATACACACCCAATTGGAGTGTGCTCTTCCCAGAAGCATTGCGAGGGGTTCTTCGGGGAAAATCGTTAGCCTTATCGCGCAGCAAGATACACGAGAGGACATGCAGGGCAAAGATGCACGAGTGCGCCTGCGCAGCAAGATGCGCAACACTACATACACGGCAGAACGAACGACAGCACGTGCAGAGCAAGAAGCACGAGAGCACTTGCAGAGCAAGAAACGCGAGAGCACGTGCAGAGCAAGAAGCGCGAGAGCACGTGCAGGGAAAGTTGCGCGCAGCCAATTGAACGAGAGAGCGTGCGCAGCAAATTGTGCGAGCAAACTTGAGAACGTTGAGCGGCTCGCGCGCGACCCCCTGCGTGGATCGGCCTGGTGAAGGTTCAAAACTTGAAAGCTTTGGCTACTTAAGATCCAGAAAGCAACGCCGACAACAGCAAAAACCGGTTTCCCCGAACACCTTTTCCAGAGGTAGCCGCTCGCTTTGTTAAGAGTTCTTGGAGATAGTTTTGCGTCTTTCTTTGGTTTCTCGAGTTGTTTTCATCTTTTGGTTTTGAGCAGGGCTGTTCCAGTGGAATTGTTTGTATAGACTGGAGTTCCTATGCAAAAGCCCAGTTTAGCATGGGAAATTCGAGCTCGAGCCCTTTTTGAAACTTGCAACAGCGGGAGTTCCCACAGTCCCCAGCCCTCAAATAGAGGAGTTTGTGCGACGCAGATGTTCCTACTAATTTGAGGCTTTCTTTCATAGTGTTGTTCACATAGACCTCCGATTCAGCGAGTTCGCCCCGAATTTCCGCCCAGAAATTCGGAAATTCGGACAGCGAGCCGCCAGCGGAGCGGTGCTCGAGGCGTCCAGCTCGGACTTCGAGTTCAAGACGGTGCCCGGGCTACAGGCGACCGCATTTCGGATCACTCGCCCTCAAAGAGGTCATGGGTCGCTCGCGCAAAAAAGACTCGGGGAAGTGGATCTGTAAAGAGCAAAACAAAAGTTGGCATGTTTTCTGAGACAGCGGTTTGCACGGCTTCCTAGCCAACCTGGAAAGAGGTTTCCTGAGATTCCAAACACATACGCATACAGGGTGGAGAATTGGTGCTTGGTCCTCTTAAAAAAGTAAGCGTGATTTAGAAGCAACTCTGCCAGATTTGTGCTTGATCCCTTAGTTGTTCACTGTGAGTGGTACAAGGGGCTAAGTCATTTCCCACATTCTTATCGTACGGCAATGGCTTAACTTGGTTTCAAGACGCCCGGTTCTACTTCCTTCAGGACTCTTGCGTCCCACCCCTTTGGTCCTCTTGTTCCCACATGGGGTTTCAAAATGAGGGGGCCAAAAAGTTGATTCGTTCCCTTTTCATCTCCCTTCAAACCGATCAAAAGGATGTGCCCCATCCTTTGCCACCCCCAACCCCACTCCCCCAGAAAGAACAGGGAAGCTAAAAGGAAGGCCAGGGCTCCAAACTTTCTACTCTGACGCACCGAAAAGGGACAACCAAAAGGAGAGCCGCCATTTTTTAGGGCTCCCATTTCTTTTGACAAGTATTCTGACCCGGCCGAAACTCTCCTCCCAAAAAAAAGCCGCGCCCGGCCCCCGTTGCAACAGGAGAGCAGCGACAGCCGCGAGTCGGAGCCTGCGACGTCCGTGGCCGGCGATGAAGGCGCCGCGACGATGAAGGCAGCCCACGCAGAAGGGCAGTGCAAGCCTTGCCGCACCTCGGAGAGGCGTCTCCTTTTTTTTTTTTGGGGGGGGTTGCTTTTTTTTGTTCCTTGCGCGGGAGGGTTTGTGTTTTTTTGCTCCCTGGTAAGATTTGGGTTTCCTTGATAGACGTTTTTTTCCTTTTGATAGTTTCCTGTCTTTTTTGCAAACGGCTGAAGGTTATGGCCCAGATGTGCTCGTTTGGGGTGGTTTGAGGCAGCTTTTCAGGGAGGGTTGTGAAAGGGTTTGGGGGGTTCTGGGGCTGTTGGGGATACCTCGCCTTGGTTTTTCTTTCTTGGTTTATGGGGTGGCTAGATGACCTCAAGGTTGACACCTCCAGAGTTCAAGGTTTTGGAAAGCCTTATTGGGTGGTTTGGATCGGTTGTAGCAGTTGAAACCCCTGTTCTTTTTTCTGCTCCCTGTTTCTGGTGATATTCGAGTGGTGCTTTGGCGGTGTTCCGTTGGAGTTCTTGGCGATGTCCGGTGGAAAGTTCTTTTGGCGGAAACAACGCTGGAAGAAATGGGGCAAAGCAACCTGGCAACAAGTCGGGCAAAAAATACATGCTTTTTGTGTGTGTTTTTCTTGTGTGCCCGTGACGTGCCGGGCTCCAAGGCTTCTTCCTCTTGAAGGGTGGTCGATGCCACTTGGGCTACGCCTGCAGCTTTTGCCATTTCTGCACGCAGGACGATGGGCAAAATGGCAGGCTCTAGGCGCGTTTCCGAGTCTTGGTTTTTGGCTTGGCGGTTTGCTTCGATTTGCAGATAAGATGAGGAAATGAGATGAGATGAGATGAGGTCAGATTAGATAGATAGATCGATAGATAGATAAATAGATAGACAAGAAAGATCTATAGATACATAAGATAGATCCAAAGAAAGAAAGAACGAAAGAAAGAAAGAAAGAAAGAAAGAAAGAACAAATGAAAGGAAGAAAGAAATAAATAAAGAAAGAAGAAAGAAATAAAGACAGACCAAATGAAAGAAAAAAAGAAAGACAGACCCAAAGAAAGAAAGAAAAGACGAGGAAATAAAAGAAAAGACAGAAGCCATAATAAAGGAAAAGACACGAAGATAAAGGGAAAAGAAAAGCAAAGACAGAAATAAAAGAAAGAAATAAAAGAAATAAATTGCAGAAAGAAAGACAGACAGACAGACAGACAGAAAGAAAGAAAGAAGGAAAGAAAGAAAGACATAAATAAATAAATAAGTAAATAAATAAATAAATAATGAAAGAAATACAGAAAACAGAGAGCAAAAAAGGAGAGGACATAAAACAATAAATGCAGACATACATCAGGAGATATACTAAGCGAAAAGGCAATAAAGTAAAGCAACAGAAAAGCAAAGACACCAATACATAAGCAATAAACACATAAAAGAAGCCATGGAATATCAACTATATACATATATATATATATATATATTTATACACGTCCTTCAAGATGGACGCGATGGATACGATTGAAAAGGTAGACAAGACGGACAAGATAGACAACTAGCCAGACATGATCGACAAGATGGGCAAGAAAGACAGAATAGACAAGATCTACCAGATAGACACGATAGTTAAGATAGACACGATAGATACGATAGACACGATAGATACGATTAGATTAGACAAGATTAGATTAGATTAGATGGATCGCTAGATAGATTAGATTAGATTCGATTAGATCAGATAGATAGATAGCTAGATAGCTAGATAGATAGATAGCTAGATAGATAGATTAGACAGATAGATAGAAAGACGGAAAGATCGATAGATAGGTAGCTAGGTTGATAGATAGATAGATAGATGGATAGATAGACAGATAGATAGATAGATAGATAGATAGATAGATACAAGCGATACGATAGATACGAAATATGCGATAGATACGATAGATACGATAGATACAATGATACGATAGATACGATGGATACGATAGGTACAATAGACAAGATGGATCGATAGACAGACGGATATATAGATAGATCGATAGACAGCTACACTAGATTAGATTAGACTAGGTAAGATAGATAGATAGATAGATAGATAGATAGATAGATAGATAGATAGATAGATACATAGATAGATAGAGAGGTAGGTAGATAGATGGATAGATTCGATAAATAGATACATAAAAAATCATAGATCGACAGGTACATAGGTCGATAGATAGATAGATAGATCGATCGACAGGTACGATATCTACGATAGATACGATAGATGAGAATCACAAGACAGACCGATAGACAGACGGATAGATAGATAGATAGATAGATAGATAGATAGATAGATAGATAGATAGATAGATAGATAGATGCACAGATAGATAGATCGATAGAGATCATAGATACGATAGATACCTTAGATACCATAGATATGATAGAGACGATAGATACGATAGAGACGATAGATACGATAGAGACGATAGATACCACAGATCCGATAGATCCGATAGATACGATAGATCCGATAGATACGATAGATACGATAGAGACGATAGATACGATACGATAGATACGATAGATACGATAGAAACGATAGATACGATAGAGACGATAGATACGATAGAGAGGATAGATACGATAGATACGATAGATACAATAGATACGATAGATACGATGGAGACGATAGATACGATAGATATGATGGAGACGATAGATATGATAGACAAAATGGATTGATAGACGGTGGATGGATGGATGGATGGATGGATGGATGGAGAGATTCGATCAATTAGATTTCCGAGTTTTTTTTGTGACCCAGTGCACAAGGCCATGAGTGCCACTATGGACGGGGTTCACGGCCAAACGCACTCAGTTTCTGACACCCGCCAGAAACCAAAGTATTGGATCGGCTTCTTATGCCAATGCTCCTCCCATGGCTTTTGGGTGGCTTTCGGAGGAGCAAGCCAAAGCTGAGCAGAAGCGGCTCAAGTATCAGGATCGGCGCGAGAAGCGGCAAGGCTTCAAGACCAAGAAAGTGCCGGAGGAGAATTGGGTGTTTGAGTGCTAGTAGCGCATTGGCCATCGGAGTTCCCTTAGAGTTTTGCCAGGGATCTCTAGATTCGATCTCCAGCGTGAGACTCGCGACTCGCGACTCGCGCGGGAGCTGGGAGCCGGAGTTGCGTATGAGGCCGGTTGCCTTGTGACAATCCAGCCAGGGCTGTGCTTACAAGTTGGGTATGGGTCAAAATTAAACCACAAGGTGACCGTAGCTTCTAGTCCATGTTTCCATTTACCAGGGTTCCATGTCGGGCACATATTTTTGACTCACGGCCAGTTGTGTCAGGGGGTCCTTGAGAAGCAACCTCAGTGCGGACCATTGGGAATCCCGCAAAGGTTTGTTTCATTTGGGTGGCCAAGAGAATCCCCGAACATCGGCGAGAGAGGTCATGCCCGTCAGCCAGTTTATGTGTATGATGCAAGGGGGGGGAATATTCAACCATGCTTGGTGCAAGATCTACTTCCATTCGCTTGTGATTTCAGGTTTTTCCCTGTTAGTCTTAAAGGATCATTGCAAAGGATAAACGAGTCTCAATCCATTTGCTTTGGGAAGTCAACGCATTGTGGGAAACAATCAGCCTCAGACTTTTTGATTCATGTGAATGGGATGACACGGGTCACACAAATTACCACCCGGACATTGGGGTTACTCACGATAATCCAATGTGACTTGAAGGCGCAATGAAGATTGACAGTAGCTTAGATGTTGATTTTCATCAAAAAGACAATCCTGGCAGAAGAGTTTGGACTCGCGCAGCGTGATCTTGTCAGCGGGTTCGGATGGCAAAGGTGCCAGGTTAAAACACGCTCATGGCTTTAAGAGAAATTTAGAGAATCATTCCAGGGATTCCTTGCACAGGAAGCATGCCCACGGACCACATGTTGGGAGTTGTGATCGTAGCGCATGTGGTGTAATGCAACGATGACTTTTTGTTTGGCTGTACAAAAAGGGTCCTTCGCCTTGGCCGTAAAGCGTCCGCGACCATCCAGCCAAACATCAGAACCTCTCCCGAAAACCTTCCGGGTTCCGTGTCGGTTGTGGGAAGCGAGCATTTGCGCTCACAGTTTGTCCGCTTGAGCTGTTGTCCCTGAGTTGTGTTGCGACTTATGCTCCTTGGTTTCTGTTTGGCTGCCCAAAAGGGACGGCGCGTTGACCTGGCGCCGAAGTCGGCCGACTCAAGGTCGGAAGCCGGACCTGACTCGAAATCTGTTCCCGTCCGCCCCCAAAAAAGCGGGAGAGGTGTCAGACTTTGGGGTCCATTGGCTCCGCTTTATAAGGCGAAGAGCGAAAGCCGAGCAACCTTTCGTCTCACGACTCTGAGTCCGGCCGCATCTCGGCAATATTGCTCATCCGATTGGCGACTGGTGCAAGCATACGTCTGACACACGACACACATGCATGGCCATATGCATATGCGTATATATATATATATGCATGTGCATATGCATGTACATACAGGTGTGTTTTGCTTGGCCCAACCGTTTGGTGGGTTTTTTTAAGGATTCGCACACGGCCACCGTCTGTGCCCAGTCGATTTGAGAAAAGGATTCGCCTGTGAGCCCGGCGCGGTGATTGGATCGAAGTGCATTGAATGAGGGCGCCCTCGCGGCTGGGGTGAGTGATTTGGGGCCCGCGGTGCCTGCGAAATAGGGGTTTTACCTTTTCAACCAAAGAGACCAAAACAGGGGTTTCAGCTTTTCAATATAGGGGTTTCACCTTTTCAACATTTTCAACCACAAAGTTGCCAACACAAACATGGGGGGCCTCCAAAGTGTGAAACCACCTGTGTGTGTTTCACCATCAAAATAGGGGTTTCACCCCCAAGAGACTAGCCTCTGAAGTTGCCAACGCACAAACCAAACAGAAAGCCAGCAAGCCAGCGCAAGCAAGCAAGAAATCAAGCAAACAAGAAAGCAAGAAAGAGAGCAAGCAAGCAAGCAAACAAACAAGTAAGCAAATACACACAAAGACAAGCGCACACACACAAACACAAACACACAAACACACAAAAACACGCAACACGGCAAACACACAGCACAAGAAACACACACACACACACACGCACAAAAGAACACGCACCCACAAACAGACACAGACACATACACACACACACAAAAGCACACCCAAACACAGACATACACAAAGTCAAGCACAAACATTGTCGCAAACACAAACACAAGCACAGACACAGACACAGACATATACACACAAACACAAACACAAACACAGACACCAGCACAAACACAGAATCACGACACACACACACAACGCAACAACACAAAACACACAACACAGACACACAGACACACAGACACACAGACACAAAGACACACAACACACACAGACAAGCAGAAGCACAGAGACACAGACACACAGACACACAGACGCACAGACACACAGACACACAGACACACAGACACACAGACACAAACAGACACAAACAGACAAACAGACACAAACAGACACGCAGACACACGCAAACACACACACACACACCCACCCACCCACCCACCCACCCACCCTCCCACCCACCCACCCACCCACGCACGCACGCACGCACGCACGCACGCACGCACGCACGCACGCGCGCGCGCGCGCGCGCAAACACACACACACACAAACACACCCACGCACACGCACACGCGCACGCGCACGCGCACGCGCACGCGCGCGCACGCGCACGCGCCACGCGCCACGCGCCACGCGCCACGCGCCACGCACCACGCGCACCACGCACCACGCACCACGCACCACGCACGCCCACGCACCACGCACCACGCACCACGCACAGCACCCGCAGCGCGCCGCCGCGCGACGCTGCGCGGCGCGCGCGCCACGCGCACACGCGCAACGCGCCGCGGTGCACGTGCGCGTGCGAACGCGCGCACAGACGCCCAACGCGCAGCGCGCGCACGCCACGCACGCGTGCGCACGCGCACACGCGCACACGCTCACACGCGCAGACGCGCAGACGCGCACATGCGCACCGCCACACGGGCACACGCGCAGCCAGACACGCGCACACGCCCGCACGCATCACACTGCACATCGCGCACACGCGCTGTGCTCACACGCGCACTGCGCACACTGGCACACGCGCACAGCGCACGCGCCACAGCACCACACGCGCACACGACACACGCACACATACACACACACACACACACACACACACACACGCACGCACGCACGCACGCACACACACACACACACACACACACACGCACACACACACACACGCACACACACACACACACACACACACACACACACACACACACACACACACACACACACACACACACACACACACACACACACACACACACACACACACACACACACACACACACACACACACACACACACACACACACACACACACACACACACACACACACACACACACACACACACACACACACACACACACACACACACACACACACACACACACACACACACACACACACACACACACACACACACACACACACACACACACACACACACACACACACACACACACACACACACACACACACACACACACACACACACACACACACACACACACACACACACACACACACACACACACACACACACACATACGCAAGCGTGCACGCAAGCGTGCACGCGCACACGTGCACACGCGCGCGCGCGCTCACATTCCCTTTCGCGTGCACGCGCGCACACCCGCGCACGCGCGCACGCGCGCTCGGGAACACGCGCGCAGGTGCACATGCGAACACGCGCACACGTGCACAAGCGCGCACACGCGAACACGCTTACATGCCCTTGCGCGCGCACGCGCGCGCATGCACGCGCACATGCGCACACGCGCGCACGCGCACACACGCGCACACGCGCGCTTGCGCACAGGCGCACACGCGCACACGGGTGCACAAGCGCGCGTGCACGCGCGCGCACACAGGGACACGCGCACACGCGCACACGCTCGCACGCGCACACGCGCATGCGCACAAGCGCACGCGCGCAGACGAACGCCCGGACACACGCACACACACACACACACACACACACACACACACACACACGCACACAATCCCACACACCCACACACAAACACATTTTGACACACACACTCTGACAGACACACTCTTGCACACACTCTGGCACACCAACTTGCGCACACACCCAACCGCCCCCGCATGCGGATACGCACCCGACACGTGCATACGCACGCGCACGCGCGCGCACACTGACGGGCACGCGCGCACGCCCACGCCTGCGCCCACGTGCACGCGCACATGCACGCGACGCGCACGCTCGCAGGAACAAGCACAGGCACAAGTGCACACACACACACACACACATGCAGGCTCGACCAGGCGGATTCTGAACCACCCAGCCACGAAACTGGGGCGCTCGGGACTCTTCTGATTGTCAGACTGGGTTGCGCCGTGCCTTGAAACGACCAAAGATCTGGGCAGGAAGGATGAGAGCTATATGCACTTGAAAGAAACGTCCACTTGGTGATTTGGGTTTGCCTTTTGGCCCCCTAACGCAACAGTTCAAAGGGGGTCTCTTACAATGGTGTGAAAGGGGTCTGACAAAGGGGGCAACCCGGTGCAGTTGGCTGGACATGGCTGGCTTGCCAGCGGCCGGCGCAAAGGCGTTCGTTCGGCAAACGGCTGTGGGGCAGATTTGCCCCTTCAGCGGACCGGAATCAAGCTGTCAACATTGATGCCCCAGTCAATTCCACCAAGTTGCCACTCTTTCAGCGCTCTTTTCGCGCTTCTTGCCGACGGAGTTTCGCGCGTGATTCCATTGCCCCCGAGGCACCCATTTTGCCGTCAAAAACGAGCGCGGGATCGAATCGAACTTTTTGGAGCCGAGAGCAGATGGAAAGGCTTGATGTTTCCGTCCTATTTGGACGGCAGGAACAAAGATTTTGATCCAAGGACAAAGAGTCCTGCTGCTTGCCTTTCTCAAAAGCACTTCGCTTTTTGTAGCAGTTTCGTGGGCATGTGGAAGGGTTTTCTTAGCGGTGCTTGTTTTTTTTGAGCTACGACTCAAGGACCGCTCGTGTGTTGATGTCCTGACACAGGGCACCTTGAACTCCCACGAGGAATTGTACGGGAGCTACCTGCTTCACGGGGGTGTTCAGTTAGGCTCACGCTTTTGAGGCTACCTTTTTTTGCGTTGTTACAAGTAAGGGCTAAACATCTGGCAGACTCCTGAGTCTGATTTCTATGCCTTCGTCGTCAAACGCCTCACCTTTGTCCCTTCTGAAAGTTGCTCCAGGGTTCTGGATCTGGTGGATGGGGGTGTTACCTGAGCGAACTTTTAGTGACAAGCTCTCTCTCTTTATCTCTCTCGGCGACTCGTAAGAAGTTGTTGCATGTGGCGCCCGTGTCATGCTAAAGGCCATCCACGCTTGGTCAACGTGCAGCTGAGACCATGACTCGCAGGCCGTCAAATCACCGAGTCACTGGCTCGGTGCTTTTTCTCGACTTGGAAATCAAGGCGACGCAGCGCTTCAAGTTGCTTTTGACCTTGTTCTTGACAACTGCTGATTTGTCATAATTTGCTCCCTAGTTTCGTAGGTGCTTCGGTTTTGGTTTGTTCTGTGTCCAAAGACGGTTTTTGGGGGCCCGACCGACTCATGGGCACCGCGGTTCGATACCCGGCGTCCCACTGGTGGGTTCTGAGAGGCGGCGTTTCAAGCGCCAGAGCTGCCAGAAATATGGCGGTGGGTCGAAACCAATGGGATCCCATTTTGGGGTAGGTGCACCACCCATTATTTTACTGGGCCATATTGGTCTCAGGTCAAGTCCAATCCGCCTACCCGTGCTCTCTCTTCAGAAAAGGCTTGTTGCGATGCAGCTGGGTGGAGGACACTTGGTTGAATCCAGGGCGCTGGTGCCCTTTCAAACAACATCACGGGCACGCTGTTGGGACGAGGGGTTTTTGAACATGTTTAAACATGGGTCGGCTCCACCTTGGTTGGCCCAACTAATCAACCTTGTGAGTGCTCTTGGACTGTTTA